ATTCTTCTGGTTACATTCTTCACAGTGCATGACTATTCTCAGTATTTCCATTTACAGCGCTGTTCGCGTTCATCTAATTCCCTGCCCCCGTACATTCTCATCTCTGTCTTAAATTAATTTAGTCTCCTATAGATGATTTTTCAGAAAGGAACGCAGCGTTCATGGGTGATGTGATAGTCTTTATTTTGTGAGCCATTTTTTCACTTAGCTAACAGGTGACCTAAGCAGCCCATTTGGGTTAAAGTTTAAAGAGACTCTCAAGGTAATAGTCTCCGGGAGTTCTAAGACTGGTCCAGAACTCTGGGTTTTTTCTTCTTTTTAGGAATTTAAGGTCCACTTCCGTATTTTTCTCACATTGGATCACGGTAAAGTTATGTTGGCCCTGACCAGAATGGTTGGCATGGTCCAGGCAACATCTAGTTTTCCTGGTCTTAGGTAGAGGAAGCCAGATACAATAAGCCGTCTGCTATCTTGGCATCTTCTCTGGGTGTTCATCATGGACCCCAGTAAAAGGAAATCCTTGACAACTTTAATCTTTTCTGTGTTTGCTGGGATGCTGTTTCTTGGGCAATTAGGAGGACTTTTGTTTCCTTTACATTGAGGTGGAATGCATAATGAAGACTCGTTTTTGCTCCGCATCAGTGCTGGCGAAAAACAATGAAAATACGGTGGACTGTCAGAAGAACAAACAGCTGCCTTGGAGGAAGCAGCGCGTCTTAGCAGCGAGGATGGAGAGACGCTGTCTCACATACCGTGGATATGCGTGCTGTCAGAAGAGCAGTCCCTGGAGAGGACAGCATGCCGGGCAAAGTGAAGGGTCAGGGAGAGCTGGATCAACAGTGACTGCAACAGTGGGCTCAAACACAACACCAACAGTTGCTCAGGGTTCTTTGACGATGCATTATATGTCTAGGGGGCTGGTTTCCTGTCTCACTTTGGCTATTTGCATCTTCTCGGTTTGCTTGTCAGGCTAGCTACAGGTTTGTCAGTTTCAGTTCTGGATTGTTGATTCTCTCTACTGTTTTTCTGATTTATTTCACTGATTTCTGCTCGGATATTTATTATTTTTCTTCCAACAGCTTTAGGTTTTAGTTCACTCTTCTCTTTCTAGTTCCCCAAGTTGTAAAGTGAGACTATTTGAGATCTCCTTTGTGAATATGGGTGCTACATTCTCCTCTGAGTACTGCCTTTGCTGTAGTTCATGCATTTTGTTATTATTATTTTCATTTCCAAATGTCCCCAGGTATTTTAAATTCCACTCTTGATTTCTTCCTTGACCCAACAGTTATTTAAGAGTGCATTGTCTAATTTCCTTGAATTTGTGTATTTTCTTGGTTTTCTCTTGCTGCTTATTTCTAACATTATTCCTTCGTGGTCAGGGAAGATACATGTAATTGCAATCTTTTCACATTTATTGAGACTGACTTTACCACCGCTGATTTTGGGGAAGCAGATCAGCAAGTCCATATTCTGAGGTGTCTCTAGGGGGACTTAAAGACCACCCATCTTTTGGCTGCTAATACAAAGTATATTAATACCACGTGCACCACCCGGGCATTCTAAGGTATATGCCAGCAAAGCTACACCACACCCATTCACTGCGACGTATGCAATGCTGACTCATGTGACCGTATAGAACAGAATGGGCCAACCGCATCAGGTTGCTAAGGACAGCATCTTTATGGAAGCAGGTTGCTACATCTTTCTTCCATGAGGTGACTGGCGAGTTCTAGTCATGGACTTTCAGTTAGCACCTAGTGCTTAGAAACTGTGCCAGTAGGCTCCTCAAGCAAAGTTAGCTTTCATCTATTAAGACAAAACCTTGCCAAGCTCCTGCTATGTGGTGAAAAGCCCACTGTTAGCTAAACCAGCATGCCCGTTGAAATCTTAGGCAACTCATGCTGGGTTCCTTGGCTTCCCAGTTCTAGGAATGCCAACTCTAAAGATGACCAGTAGCAAGAAAATGGTTGCAATCCACCCCAACAGCCATCCAGAAATTAGAATCTCCTTTTATTTGATGTACCTTCATCTCTCTGCCCTTATGCCGTCCCTGTCTTTTACTTGGAGAATAACTTACCTTTGAATGTTGTGACTCTTCCTTGTCAGGTAAACAAATACCTGTTGTTGGTCCTACATCCTGTTTGGTTCTCTTTTCTTCTAACAAAACCAAGAAGACCAAACTCACTGCCATCAAGTCAATTTTGGTTCATAGCAACTGTATAGGCAGGGTAGAGCTGCCCCTGTGGGTCGCCAAAACTGTATTTATGGGAGTAGAAAGTCCCATCTTTTCCCCTTGGGGTGGTTGGTGGTTTTGAATTGCCGACCTCACGGTTAGCAGCCTGATTCATAATTACTGTGGCCCAAGGGCCCCTAATTTCCAACAAAGGAAATCAATTTCCTTAGTTTCAAGTTGGCATATAGAATTTTTCCTAAAATAGAGAACTTGCATCTGGTCCAAGCACCTTGGTAGTTCTTACTTAGGATCACTTTAGTCTTATACTTGGCAAGGAAATGACATGACTTTTACTTATCCAAATTTTACTAGGGAATATCACATGTCTGCGGAGAATCAACATATTGGTATGAGTAAAATTCTCTTCAGTAAAGGCATCACAATGCAAGGATGGTGCCTCATTGCAGAGTCTCGGCCTGTCTTACAGATATTTGTTACATGGTGTTACGGTTTTTGAGTGAGCAGCCAGGTTAATGACAACTTTTATTTCATGATTTTGTCTCTCTCATCCTACAACTAATGTTGAAAGGCTGAATCATCTCTGAGGCACAGTTCCCTTGGACTATGTCAAATAATGATATAAAACCTCTTTATCTTGATTTAATATATTTATAAAACATCCATTTTTTTATCTTTTAAAAAGCCAGAAATAGAAATCCTATAAGCACTGCTTATGCAAAACTTAGGCAGGTGAATACACTGTATTAGAGAGTCCAGGTCACAGGACACAGTGAAGAGTTACAATGATCTTAGGTATCAAGTCCAACATTGTAGTTGTCAATTCCCTATTCAGATAGCACTGCACTTTGTGGAATTCATAAACTGTCCCATAACATTGTTCAAGAGTTTGGGGTTAAAAAACAGTGGAAGAAAAAAGATATCTAATCCATAGTTGTTTCTAATTATTTCAAGCTAAAACTTTAGGTCCCCTATTACAGTATTGCCATGAGTCAAGAGGCAACTTGACAGTAACTGACTAGTTAACAACATTACAGCATTGTAGAGGAAATATGCACTGGTTGGTGCATAAATCAGTAATATACAATAAACCAACTGTATGTGAGGAGGTTTCAAAAATATTGTGTTAGTCTGGGTAGACTAGAGAAACAAATCCATAGAAACTCATATGTGTATAAGAGAGAGTTTTATATAAAGGGTAATTGTACAATAAGAAAGCATCCCCATCTAAGACCCAGAACAAAATCATTCCCAATATGAATGGGGGGGGGGGGCATGGAGTGTAGACTCAATGCCATCTGTAGACAATTGGACAGCCACCTACAGACGGGTCACAGGGAAAAGATGAGCCAGTCAGGGGGCAGTATAGCACCGGCGAAACACACAACTTTCCTTTAGTTCTTTGGTGCTTCCTTCCCCTCACTATCATGACCTCAATTCTACCTTACAAATCGGATTAGACCAGAACATGCACACTGCTACAGATAAGAACCCCGAACACAGGAAATGCAGGATAGATGAATTCCTCAGGGCCAACAATGAGAGTAGAGATATCAGGAGGACTAGGGGAGGGTGGGGGGAGAAAGGGAGAATCGATCACAGGATCAACCTACAACCTCCTCCCAGGGGGACAAACAATGGAAAAGTGGGTGAGGGGCGATGGAGGATGATGTAAGATATGAAAATAATAATCTATAACTTATCAAGGGTTTGTGAGGGAGGGTGGGCGGGGGAGGGGGGGGGAAGTGATGGGGAGCTGATATCAGGGGCTCAGGTGGGAAGAGAATGCTTTGAAAATGATGATGGCGGCCTATGTGCAAATGTGCTTGACACACTGGGTGAATGTATGGATTGTGATAAGAGCTGTAAGAGCCCCCAATAAAAGTATTTAAAAAAAGAAAGTATCCCAACCCAGTCCCGATTAAACCCGTAAGTCTGATATTAGCCCATATGTCCGACACCAATATATAAAGTTCCCTTCAAACTCATGAAACACATGCAATGACGCTAAATGCAGGAAGATCACAGGCCAGTGGATAGAACGTCTTTGGATCCAGTGGCGTTGCAAGCACCTCAGCACTGGCAGAGGTCTCCACGTGGCTTCTCCGCCTTCAGGGCTGCATCAGGGTAGTTCCATGTGGCTTCTCCTCAGAGATGTCGCACAGGGCGTCAGCCTTGCTAGTAGAGAGTCCCCAAGGGTAGAGCGAGAGAAGTGTCTCCACCTCCAAGGAGGAAACTCCAGAATTCCCAGAATTCTCAGGAGAAAGCCATGCCCACATAAAGGTCTCAATGGCTAGGATCTGACTGACAGGCTAGACGCCACCCCTTCAATCTTAATCCTCAAACTGACAAAGGATTATATAACTACCACAAAGGTCATGGAAAATTTCCAGATCTTTAATTCCATTGCCCCCAAACTTTTTGAATCCCCCTATTATATAGTTTGTAAGAAATAAAATATTATACTCTAATAATCATATTTGAGCTCTTAAAAGTATTAAATTTTTGAAAGGGCTTAAAGGTATTGTATGAATATACATTTTCCAGGTGAAGTATTAGCTTTCTTAAAAATCTAATTTTTAAAACCAGTAGCACCAGTGGTATTTCATAAAAGGAAAAATGGAATTGCCTTTTTAACGTTCTTTTTCACAGACTAGGCATAGTCAGTAAGACTGAGATATATATAACTATGTGAATATGGAAGAAACAGTAGGCTCTTGGGAGCCGAATGTGCACTGCACTGTGATGTGAATTTCTGGGTCTCCACTTCTGTGACACATGTACCCAGCGTTCATATCTCCCTTCTTACCTCATGACACTTGTCACATTTCTGTTGGATCTGATACTCTTCTTGCTTTAGCATTTCTGCCATCTCTGCTTCCTGAAGGTACTTCTCCCGTTCTTCCTTCAGATGGATCTTCTCTTGAGCTTTCTAAATGATGTGAGAGCACTGAGTCAGTTCAGCACCTAAAAAGAGCTCCTTGTCCTTGCTGGGAGATCCTCGGCCCTTTACACTTGCCCAGTTTGTTCCTGGAACTAGCTTTTGCTTGCTAGTGGCTCTAAACCCCACAACTATACCGCACCTTCTACAGCCCCCAGACTGCCTATGTGTCACCATATCAGGACCCAAATCAAGAAATTCCCCAGGAAATGAGGAGCTGATGCCAGGGGCTTACGTGGAGAGCAAATGTTTTGAGAAGGATGAGCATTAATGAATGTACAAATGTGCTTTATACAATTGATATATGTATGGATTGTGATAAGAGTTGTACGAGCCCCCAATAAAATGATTTTTAAAAAAGAGTTAAAAAAAAAAAAGGAAATTCTCCAGGTTAGTTCAAGAAGGACTCTTAAGGAAACGTGGAAGCGCCACCCCCTCACCCCGCCCCCGCCCCTTCAATGCAGACTTGAAACACAGACACACCTCTTCTCTCGCCTCCATGGTTTCCTTACAATGATAAAGCCAGTGAGCCAGGTACTCTGTTGGGTCACTGGGCCGAGCCTTCGCCACCTCTGCCAGTGCCTGGGCCAGGCAAGTCCCGAAACATCTCCTCAGGTATTCAGTCTCCATTCTGGGGGCTTGGGAAACAGTCAGGCAGAGTCCCATTACTTTACAAATCCATCTGATTTAAGACATGGGTACATTCTCACCAACTACAATTTATTTCAGCAAAAATATGAGTTCTTTACTGCCCCTCCCCCCCGAAGAATTTATTTGAGAGGATGGCACTGAAGCTGCAGTTAGGGGAGCGGGGCATGTCTGATCAGAGCAAGTGGGAGCACTTAGGGGAAGTAAGAGAGAGTGGAGCACATCCTGACCCACCAGGCCTGGAGGACGACATCCCCGCTCTGAACAGCCAATGGACAGAGTGGACAATATGGCTGATCCCACCAC